GAACGCTAACCTTGCTTGAGGGGTGGAGGACAGGAAGGCGAGTGGGGAGGCGGTTATTGTTTGGAGGGAGAGTCCCCCTCCCTACAGGAAGCCACGACCATGTGTCACAGCAGGGAAAATGGCCGCGGATCCTGTTTGTCACTTGATGCGGAGTTCGCGAATGGAAGCAAAATTTTGCGAACAGTGCTGTTCGTGACCCAAATTGGTCGTGAACAGAAGCGTTCGTGACCCGAGGTACCACTGTATTACATAATTATATAATCAACAAAATCCCATATATCTCATATGACTCATACTCTATGTTAAATTACTATTTGATATGTAGTAGCCATTACTAGAAAGGACAGAGCTGAATTAAAAAGTGACAAAGAGGTGCTATGTTTACACTCCTGTGCCTCTGAAGCATCTTTCCAGAATCCAGTTGGAAGTACTACGTAGACCTAGAACAGAGCCCCATTTTCTGATGGGAGAAAATCCTCTTTCTCTTGGTGTAGGATCCTGATATTGAATAATTAAATTTGGATTGGCTGGCTAATCTGATCAGTATGAAAGGTACACTATTTAATCATGAAATTCCACTGAATTCAGTTAAGTTTAATACAAGATAAGTAGACATATATTCCTATATAATTTCTTGTTCTGTTATTATGTTACTTTAAGCATTACTATACAGTATTAAGTATTCAACTGAATACCAGCGTATCAGAAAATAAAGCCAATTCCAATAACGGTCAGAGACAAACCTGAGCAGAACACCTACTGCCTTAAAATGTTATAACACCATGTCTTCCAAGCTGTGCTTCTAAAAGTACTGGATAACAGACATTATCAAAAGAGAAATGATAGATGGAATATTAAATCAAATAAAACTAAATAAACTCTACCAGTCTGACCACTGACTACTCTGGATGCAGATCTCAGTTCTCCGAATTAACAGTTACAGCCACAGTGGCTGGGGAATTCTGGGGGCTGAAGTCCACACACCTAGAAAGCAGCAGAGCTGGACGTGGGCAGTTCCAAAGGAAGAGTGCTCTAGAGCAAGGGCCAAAGTGGACAGGGTGATGATGCAGAGCTATGTTAATAAGCAGATGAAATAAGATTATGCACATATTGAAACATTAGACAAAACCAGGAAGCTATGCTTACATGTGTTGTGAAGCAAAACACTAGGGGGCGTTTTAATATATAGTTGTAGTACAAAGCTTTTATCTAACAGCAATAGAGTTAAAAAAATTAACAGTTTAGGACAGTTATTGATACTTACTATTTAGGATTCTTACCGATAATTACGATGCATCTTTGCTATTTCTGATACTATTTCAGAATCTGAGTTCCTAAGACAGGAAACCACTTCTTTTCCAAAGAAGGCATCACAGCAGTAAGCCATTGAACAAACTAGGACAGGGAAAAGTATCTCAAGCTACTTACCGGAAGTGGCTAGCTGCCGCTACCTGCCGTGCAAGGATAGGGAAACGTGCCAGAATTGGGCTGTAGTGGGTGCCAGAGGAATCCAACTGCAGAAGGCCATGGAGGTGGCAGCATAACAAGTAGAGCCGTGTGGCAGATAAATACTGAGAGGATTCCATAGCACTCCAGATTTTCTCTGGAATCTGCAGCAGAAGCTGGATTTGCGCTGCCAAGCAGTAGAACTTCTCCTGGGACTGGCATGTTGTCTAGACAGAAGAAATATGAGCATCCTATAAGACTCCGCACTGAAACTCATTTTGGAGGACCAATATTATGTCTGTACTTTTCTTCAATAAATGCGGGATGTGGTATGAGGGCTAAGAGCAGGGCTTCAAACATGCATGCAGTTTTATGATCTCTCATAGTCCATCTGAGTTGCACCCATTCTCAAAGCACAAATGCCATGACCATTTACCCAGAAAAGAGCACAAAGCTCAGAATAATATTCTAAAAAGGAAGCCATGTTAGACCGCTGCAAAAACAAAAAGTATCCTCTTCCTCGCTGCGAGCCCACACATTTGTTAGGGCTTAGACTACAGTATGAGGGATTACCGTTTGTTTCCAAATATTATCTCCTTTCTCGCTTTATTTCCCTCCCACTTGTCATCATCCACCTTTACTCTCACGCTGCCCCAACTTTAGGGCTCCAATCTTTAATGTTCTGTACTTTACAGAAAACGCCGAGCCCGAGGCAAGCAAGAATTCAACAGGTGAAGCTTCTCCCACACTTGCAAGCGTAAGACGCGGCAAACTTTGCTGCGCGGTCACTCCACGCGCCAGCCCATCATTCGGGACCCCCGGCTGGAGCCTTTCCCAGCCACGCCCCTCAGTGAGCGCCCACCTCGCGCCCGGTCTCGCTCTGGCTGTTTGCCGCAGGGCCGACGGCCCGTCCGCGCGCCCGTCGCTGCTGAAGTCCTCGCACGGCCTCGAGCAGGTGCTCGGCGCTCACGCGCATCTCGGCGATGGTATCGGCCGCCTCGATGAGATCCCGGTACCGCTCCCCGACCATCTGCCGCAGCTCCTCGCGCTTCCCCTCGATGCCCGCGCGCAGCTTCCGCTCCACGGCTCTTAGCTCGGCCGTCGTATGCTTCTCGAAGAGGGACTCGACTGCCGCCGCACCGCCTCGCTTCAGGGCGTCCAGAGCTGCCGCTTCAGCTGCCGTCGTCGCCATCGCGGCTATTTCTCACCCCGCCGCCTGTCACCCGGAACCGGCCGCCTTGTCCGCCCTTTGACGTGTCACGTCCGCCATCTTTGAGAAGGGCAGCGGACTGGCTGTTTCAGAAGGAGAAAGCGCCTCCCCTCGTGGCCGCCATTTTTCTCCCGGGCAGAGGAAAGCGGCTGCTTCCTTGCGCCTTCTCAAGGAGTGGGGAGGTCAAGAGCGGCTAGCCTCCCTTATCTTCATTACAACGTCATGTGCCTCTCCAGGCTTTCTCAAACTGGCGACCTCCGGATGTGTTGGACTACAACGGTCATAATTCTCAATCGGCGGGGACGGGGAAACATGGGACTTGTAGTTCGAATTTGCAAGGTTATTAGATGGAATGATTTACATTGCTGCAGATTAACACCCCTGTCCTGGATTTTTTTCTTTTTTCACTTGATAAATCCTGTCCAGCAACCCCTGAAAAACCCTTTAGCCTGAGATTACTGTGTCTCGGTTAAAGCCAATTTGTTTGAAATCTCCCCATCAAACAACGTAATCCAGTTCATACATGGCTCAGAATTTTCCTCCCTTCCCCTTTGTTTCTAATCCTTTTATCTAACATAATACTCTTGGAACTTGAAAGCTTGCACACTTTTCTGTGTCAATTTTATTTGTCCTAATTAAAATATTGAACAACTGTGGTTAGGTACACATTATACAAAAAGCTATAAGTGCTTTTTGTTATGTAGGGTCCCTTCCAGAATTACTAAACAAAAATGGGTAAGTCCATTGTCAAGCATGTTTACTTTTTTTAATAGAAAATCTACATTATGGTTTATTTCTGCATAGTATGTATTTTATTTTGTACTTTAGATTATATTATAGAATTACCTACAAATAAAGTGGGAATCCTCTAATGTGCGCAAGCTTTCTTCTGTTTAGAACTAATAATGTTTGTGTTCTAGCAGGTATATTCATTTCGCCTTTCATTTGAACAGAAAGCATGATGTATGCTCCTTGAACTCCTGTATAAAAGGCAGGATTGAAATAAATAAAGTAATGTATATTTATCTAACACTTATATATTTATCTTACAGTTAAATATTCTGCCCTGAGAAGATTTGTAGGATTTCTAGTGTGTGTGGTTTTTTTTTTACAAAAAATAATAAATAGTAGACAACATGAAAGGCCACTGTGTTTTTTGAAGAGCCAAGATTCTGAAGGCAGCACTACAGGGCCAGATATACAAACAGTCTGCTCAAGTTAAGGTAGTTCAAGCCCCTGGAAAATTCCCACTCACTAGGTTCTTTTTGAAGTTTCTAACATAAAGAGTTTGCTATGGGCACCTACTCTACAGTATATTCTTTTCTGTAGTAGTTTTTCTGGCTGCCTGTTCAGTCTCCTTCATACCACCAAGCTCCTCTGAGTGATGCATATGCATTAGATGGATGGGATAGAAATTTTAATTTAAATACATACTACACATAAAAAGACTCAGAGAGGTTGCTTGTGTGAGGATGTACTGGTTGTATGATTGTTTCACTTTATTAGTGGATTTATCCAAGAGCCTTTTGATAGTTATGGTGAGGAGGAGAGAAATTAAAACTTAAATAAGAACCCACCTAGAAAGTTAGAATTAAACCTTGGAGAGAACTAGAGGCTTGGCTGGAGCTGAGTGACTGGAGGATCTAGCTAAGCAACAGAGGCTACATTGTGCAGAAGCCAGTACCACAGGCTGAAGAGACAACACCATGGCCTGGGGAGTGGAGCAAGCTGGGAGGTTGGAGCCTTGAGGTCTGCAGTTGGAGGAAGCAATACACCTTTACTTCCCAAGTATGCCTGGTAATGCATACTCCCAGGGTAATACCTACAGCCCTTTCCTCTTTAGTCATTTAGGAAACCTTGCCTCTAGAAAGGGTGGGAGGGAAGAAATGGGTTTTGCCAAAGCAAAGCCAACAGGAGTGTCCCACCATTTCTCTTTAAAAAGCCTTCTCTTGTGGTGTAAGATAAGATCACTGGAAGATGCAACTAGAAGAGACATCAGGGGAGATATAAGAGTAACCAGAAGAGAAGATCAGTTCTCTGGGAGAAGAGACAGCAGTCTCAAAAAAGAGGGCTAGATGAATTCCCAGGTGAGGTCATCTTTGGAAATGAGGAGGTAAAACTCCAGAAAGGCAATTGGCAAGGCTCCACAGCATATGGAGAGGAAAAACTTGCACCTGTTTCAAAGAGCTCCAAGCTGATTTCTCTGGAGAAAATTGGTGAGGAAGGGATCTCCAGAAAGTCAACAAGAGCTAAGCTAAACTGCTCCTAAGACTCCAGTTGAAGTTTGCACTTCATTAGAATCAGGGATTATTCAGGAGAAGCATGCTGGGGAAATACTTTGTCTCTAAGGCAGAGTTAAAGTTTTTAGCTAAGAATTTGCAATTAAGGTTATGGATTTGTTTTAAGGCGGGGTCTAATCAGTTTTACAGGTAGTCCTCATTTAGTAGCTGCCTCACTTAGCAACCATTCGCAGTTACGACAGTGATGAAAAAGTAACCTTATGACCAATCCTTGCATTTACCACCTTTGCAGGTCTGTAAAGCAGAGGAAAGCTGAAGTAAGATCATAAGCACAGTAGCACTGTCACTTAACAACCACTTTGCTTAATGACCAAGTTGCTGGTCCAAACTGTGGTCACTAAATGAGGACTACCTGTGTTGCCTCTGACATCTTGATTGTTTATGTGAATTGTCTCTAGGAACTTTTGTATCTGAAGTTTATTGTAGATGTGCAAAGTCAACTAAATTCTTCTGGTTTTTTTCCAGCATAAATTATTATCCTCAGCTCCTACCCCTCATGTATCTGTGCCTAGATTCCCCATAACGTTTTATAGAAGACTGATATTTAAGCTGCTCTTATCTGTACTGTAGTCCTTATTTCATCCAACTGTAACTGTTTGGGGCATGTGAGTACCTGAAAAAAACCCTTTTTCTTATTTTTAATAACATTTATTTTTAAATTATACTTTGTTTTTTGTTTGCCACTCCTAGAAAAAGGTTTGAGGACTGTTTTTCTCTGGCCACATGCTTCAGAACTACAAAAGCCAGGAAGCAGCAATATAAAGTTTTTTATTTTTATTATTGACAGTATTATTTTATACCTAGTGTAAGGTCCTCGGCTACCCAGAAAACTTGAAATCAATCAACAGCACAAAATAAGAGACTTCAAGCAGCGACTTCTCTAAGCAGCTTGTTAATTGGCCAAGCAAAAGTCTGGGTGCCCACCCCATGCACCAGGGTGGCACACCCTTGGAGACAAAAACACAGCCTTTTATAGTATTTTTAAAAAGGCAGAACTTGTTACCATTATAATAAAGAATGAGTTTTACAGCCAAAGAAACTTTAGTAGAATACATTATTCCCCGCCCTTGTTTGCTTACATTGATTGAAAGGAGTCCCCCCTAACTCTTATACCTTGTCAGTCCCTGCAGACCCTTGTTCTGGGTCCTCCCTTCTTATCAGGCTGCAGACTTAGTCTCTTCAGGAGGAGTTTTCCCTATTATCTGAGCTAGCTTGTCTGTGGTTTAGTTGCTTCCTCTTGCAATTTCGCTAAGTGCTGTTAGTATTGAAGATTGGCTATAAAGAACTCTGCGCATGCTCTAAAGCTATGAAGTTAACATTGCCAATTTAGATATTGCTTCATTGCCACTTTATTGAAGATTGGCTATAAAGAACTCTGCGCATGCTCTAAAGCTATGAAGTTAACATTGCCAATTTAGATATTGCTTCATTGCCACTTTAGATATTGATCCCTTCACTAGGTTATTGTCAAGTAAATGTAAATAACTGGGGTTGAGGGGGAGTGTGCCATGCAAAGGCATTCCTAAAGCAGTGGGTGGTGGTAGCTGTATAAAGTACCCAGAAGCTGTACCAAGACAGATGCTCGGCTGCTAGCTTTAAAGCCTTATAGCACAGGCTCGGAATATCTAAAAGGCCACCTTTTCCAGATAAATTCCCCGGTAGCCAGAGAGACCTCCTATAGATCCTCACAGTGGCATGACACAGGAGGGGGCCTGATGGTGGGCATTCTCTGTGGGGGCCTGAAATCAGAGATTTCAGCATGTTCCTGAAATAGGAGATAAGGATGGCCTTTATTCATATCAACTTCCAGTAGTGGGTTAGTTGGCTCTTCCAGATGACAGAATTAGTTTATTGTTATTGTATTACATATTGTGTTATTTTTATGTTATTGTTTTTCTATTTTATATCCCCCTAAAGCACCTAGAATCTGACCGGACTGAGGTGGTGAATAAATACCATAAATAAAATAAATACAAATAAAAAATACTGTGTATGTTCACTTTCTGTAGAAAAAAAGGCAAAAGATGATTTGAAGAAAAACCAAAATACTCACTTTCTGTAGGGCAGCTTTCCCCAATCTGGTATCATACAGATATTCTGGACTACAATTCCAAAAAATCCTACTTAGAATGGCTAATAGTGACTGAGTGAGAATTCTAGGAGTTAATTAGTTGTAGCACATCTGGAAGGCACAACTCGAAGACAGCATGAATTAATTAAATCAAAATTTAATCAAAATAATGTAAATTTTATGTAGACTATATAAATATAGTTTAAAATAAAACTTCATAACCATCATACATCTAAAAAAAATTGTGACTATAGGTTCCACTCTAGGAAGGAGCCCATGGCAAACCGCTTCCGAAACACCTTGCCATGAAAACTGCAGGGACTCATTCAGGCAGTCGCCGCAGAATTGGTCACGATTGAGTGTGGATAAAAAAAAAAAAGAATCAGACACAATATGACTAATGGTAATTGCAATGGCACAAAATTTCACAACTTTCATAGGAATTACTCTAAACTGACCTATTGGTAAGAAGCCCACAAGCTTTGATTGGGACTATCCTGGACATCTGCTGGTAAGAGAGGTGATTAGCCTGTCTTAGTATCAAGGACAGGTCAGCAAGTCATGCAACTTTCTCAACATCTGCATCCAAGCATGCACATAAATGCTATTCATATGGGATATTGTTGACTCTCCCCTCCATTCTGTTTGAGGGTAGCGTATGAAGTCTGACAGGTGTAAACTCTGTGGAACAGAAAGAATATTATAAAGATATTTAGGAGTGACATATGAGTGCTTCTGAGGTCTTTATAGCGATGATGTTAACATTTAGATCTATTGTTTTAGAGTTCTAAATCAAACACTGCCTACTAGATGTGAAAGGGGGCTTTTCCTAAGCCCAACACAAGTAAACCTGGGTTGAGAGACCTCAGTAAACAATCAGAAGCTATTTGCTTCTTCCAAGAGGGGGATTTATTATTTATTTAGCTAAAATAATGGTATCATCAGCATATAAAAATATGGAGATTGAGGGGTGGGCTATGTGGAATTTATGTTTGGCAGAGCTTGTACAATGTCATTAACAAAAATTAAATAAAAGGGAGGCCAGGATATATCTTTGCTTAGCTCTATTCTGAGTGGCCATTGGAACTGTCGGGTCACTGCTGGCCATGTAATTCACAAGGAATGAGAGCATTGTCAGGAAGCATTATTATCAACTGGAGGATGTGGTGGTCAATACATGTGACAGCTAATCTCTTCCGTTGCTCTTCATGGGGAATTGAATCAAATCAACAAAGGTGTCCTAAAGAAAGAACAGCAATTATATTGCTATATATTATTATTATTCAATGTAACCCTCTTCTCATTTAATATTCTTCAATGTTTTGTTTGGAAAGACACTATCCCTTGCTTCTGGAACATTGTGGACAGCGTATTCTGAATTAAAAATTATGCACATGTGTATAAATGTACAGGTAAGAATATTATAAAGAATATTCTACTGGTAGGGAATAACTGAGTAAAAGCCTGGCAGTTTACCTCTAACTAGAGACCAAGGCTTCAGACAGACACTTGGTAGTCTGCCAGAAAAATTTTATCATTAGTTAAAAGACATTCTCAGGATCACGCAGTATGAAGTTCGTTCATATTAGTTGACATTAGCTCATTAGGAAGGCAGAAGTCAAAATGTTTTTAATGAATATTCACTGGTCCTTACCATAGCTAAAAGCCATCACAAAATTAAATTACTGTTGG